ACTGGGTAAGCATGGATTGCACCAATTCAAAACGTCAGCTCCTCAGCATGTTCTTGAAGCTTGAGTTGAGCAGTAAATGTCAGCATTGTTACTGACACCAACACACTGAGACTGAATTAAAAACTGCCATTTGAGAGGCTGGAGTATTAATACACATGTAGCAGCAACTATATCCCGTCTCAGTTTCTAACTGTGTTTGCAGTAGAGAACATTGAGAAAAAGACCAAATAACAGAATTCTCATGAACCAATATAAGAAATCACATCACTTTTTTTTGGAACTTTCCAAGTGCAAGGGAATTACTTAATATTTCGTCTGAAGCGCATGAAAAATGTACAAAATACCACAAATACCTATCACAAGTCGGGTTCCAAATTTGTTACTTAAAGTTAATTTAAAAACAAACAGTCATCTTCAAAATTCCTCTGACATTCCAACATTGTTAAGGTTCAATGGTTTCCTTTAATGTCTGCAGTCAACGCAGCAGTTGAAACAAACCACAGTGAGTCAGAGAGCAGTCTTTTGCTCTGTTTCCAGAGCAGCCCACACAATAGATATACTCATTCTGCAAATTCACTTTTCATCACTCATAATATCTCCACTAACAAGAGAGTTCACAGTGAACAGGGTTAACTTCAAGCCCAGGTCACATCATATCCTTCCGTATCACTCATCTTCCTCTGTTTCAAACAACCCGTGTCTCTCACACACTAACACCTTGTTTGTCTGTGTCTCTCCCACATACACACTAACACCTGTTTAACACACACCAATATCTTGTCACTCTCTCTTTCACGTACCCGTCCTAACACATTCAAACATGTCTCTTGTACCTCCTGGACACCAACCCCTGTATCTCTCTTTTAAACAATAACACCTGTCTCACTTTCTCATACACACGCAAACACCAATCTTACACACAGACACAAACATACTGCTAAAACACACACATATCCGTCTCTTATACACATCCATCTCCACACACTCATATGCAGAAGGTTCAGAAGGGAAGTTAGAAAGCATATTTAAGAAGCAAAGAGGATTATATAAAAAAAAAGATTGGCAGCTAACATAAAGGGAAATCCCAGACTTCTACAAAAATCTCAATAGTAAAAGCATGATATGGGGACAAGTAGGGACCAAAGAGGGGACTGACACTTTTATGCATGAGGGATGGTTGAGGTCTTATACAAATACTTTGCATCAGTCTTTACCTGATGCTGCCCAGGACACAGTGTCAGAGGAGGAAACTCAGTCACATAAAGGGTTTAAAAATGCATAAACAGAAAGTATTGGATAACCTGTTGGTGCTTTACAGTTGTTAAGGTATCAAAACTGGATGAAATGCATCCAAGAATACTGAAGGAAGTAGAAGTGGAAATTGCAATTTCCTGGCAATAATCTCTCAATCTACTCTAGACTCTGGGGCAGTACCAGACAATTGGAGAATTGCAAACATTATCCCCTTGTTCAAAAGAAGTTATAAAGATCAGCCCCGCAATTATAGACCAGTTTAATGTCAGCGGTGGGGAAACTTCTAAAACGATTATTAATTAAGTCACATAGAAAGGTATGGGTTGATTCAGAATCATCAGAATGTATTTGTTAAGGGAAAATTGAATCTGAATTACTGGAGCTATTTTGAAGAGATACAAAGAGGGTTAATGAGGGAAGACAGTTGATGAAATGTGCAAGGACTGCCAAAAGGCTTCTGATACAGTGCCACACAACAGACCCATGAGGGAGAGTTATAGATCATGGAATAAATAGGACAGTTGCAAAGTGAGTACAGATTGGCTAAGAGATAAGAAAAAGAGAGTAGTGGTCATTTTTCAGGTTGGAGGAAGGTTCTCAGTGGAGCTTCCCAGGGATCGGTTCTGGAACTCTTGCTCTTCCTGTTATAAAGGTCTAGATCTTGGATGAGGCAAGTTCAAAGTTTGCAGAATATATGAAACTTGGAAGAACTGTAAACTTTAAGTATAGAAATCACAGAGGACATTGTCAAATTGGTGGAGTAGGAAGTTAAGTGGCACTTAAAGTTCAATGTAGAGAAGTGTGAAGTGATACATTTTGGTAAAAAGAACATGGAAAAACAGCACAAAGTAAAGGGTTCAGTTCTAAAGGATGTGCAGCAGCAGAGAGACCTGTGTAAATATATAAGACATGAATGGTGGTAGGGCAGGTAAAGAGAGCTGTTAATGAAGCAAACAGTGCAGATGTAATGTCTCTATCTCTTAGCCAGGTGGCCTGGGTTCACGTTCCAACTGCTTCAGAGATGTGTCATGAAATCCCTGAACAGATTGACTGGAAATATTTACAGTATTCTAGGTTTTATCAACACAGGCATAGAGAGCAGGGAGTTTATGATGAATTTATATGAGACACTAGTCAGTTGGAGCATTATGTACAGTGCATTGTACAGAGTGCAGAAGAAGATTTTGAGAATGCTTCCAGAGACGAGAAAGTTCATGTATGAGGAAAGATTAGAGAGTTGGGACAGTTTTCTTTGGGCAGAAGAAGGCTAAAAAGAGATGTGATATCGTTCCAGATTATGAGAGGTGTGCACAGAGTAGGTAGGGAGAAACTGTTCTCACTCATAAGTGGATTAATAACCAAAGGGCACACATTTAAAGTGTAGGAAGAATCTTTTAACACAGCGAGTAGCTAGGGTTCAATTGAGTGTGATTCAAGTCAACAGTTATTTGAATAGAAACAATATACGTACACACACCTGACTCTCACACACACACATCCAAACTTGCAAACCCAGAGACATGCGCGCCACCCCAGACTCTCACACGCGTGCCACCCCAGACTCTCACACGCGTGCCACCCCAGACTGTCACACGCGCACACTCCTGACTGTCATACACGCACACACCCAACTCTCACGTGCACACACCCACGTCTCACACACGCACACACCCAAGTCTCACACACGCACACTCTCGAGTCTCATCCATACACATGGTTCTCACACGCATACACATCCTGAGTCTCATACATGCACACATCCCCCAATTCTCTTACACATACAAGCACAACACACACACACACACCCACCGACTCTCATGCACGTGCACACTCATCTATCACACACCTACACACTGAATCTTTCACACACATACAGATACACACACCCATCTCACATGAAGAGTCCCAACTCTGACTTTCTCTCAAACACAGTCTCTCTCACACACCTCAACTCTCACGCACACACCCTACTTTCACACACACACGCAACCCTCACACATGCACACCCCCAACATTCTCTCACACACACACCCCCATCTCTCACACAAGTGCACACCTGCAACTCTCACACACACATCGTCTCTCTCACACAGGCACACACGACAGACTCACACAGGCACGTGCATACAACTTTCACACACACATACATACCCAACTCTCACACAGATGCATATCCCCTCATCTCTCATGCACATGCACACCTGCAACTCTCGGACACAGACACATCGTCTCGCTCTCACACAGACACACACTGCAGACCTACATCAGCACACACATCCAACTCTCTCTCACACACTTACACCCCATCTCTCAAACATGCACACAACCCCAACTCTCACACACTTCTGACTCTCACACAAGCACACAGGCCCATCTCTCACATACACATTCCTGACTCTCATACAGTCACACACCTCCATCTCACACCCACACACATGCCTGACTCTCATACATGCACACATATCCCCCAATTCTCACACACATACAAATCCGACACACACATACACCCCGACTTTCTCGCGCACATACACACACACACACACACACACAGGCCCATCCGTCTTACACGCACGCACTCCACCACCCCCCACTATCACATATGCACACTGAATCTCTCTCTCTCTCTCACACGCATACCCTCCCCACACGCACACAGACATGCCCCAGACTCTCCTGCATGCACGCATTGGCGCCTCTCACACACATCCCTCTGACTCTCTCATACTCCTGACTCTCACACATACACACACCTCCATTTCTCACATATACACACAGCCTAGACTCTCTCGCACACGTACACTCCTGACACTCTCTCAAACATCTCCAACCCTCACACACACCCGACTCTCACATCCCTAAATTTCACATACACACACACACCATCAACTCTTACACATGTTCACACACACTCCCCTGACCTGATCCTATCTCTCCCCCCTCCCCGCCTACACACATACACTCCCCTGATTGTCTCACATACATACAGCCCCAACTCGCTCTCACACATAACTCTCATACATACACACAAACCTCTGACTCTCTCACACACTCTCCCTGGCTCTCACATTTATTAATACAGCCCCAACTCTCTCACACACACCCAATTCTCATACACACACACACACACACACAAACACAGCCTCAACTCTCTCACACACACTCCCCGACTCTCACATATATACATATAGCCCCAACTCTCTCATACACACACACACAGCCCAGACACTCTCTCTCTCACACACACACACACACTCAACTCACACACACATATACCTGACTGTCACACACACACATCCCAGTATCTGTCACACACACTCACACCTACAACTCTGTCACACACATACACCCGTCACTCAGTCACACTCCCATACCACCGACTCTGTCTTCCACACACACATACGCCTGTCTCTCACACACACACATACACACGTACACAGATACATACAGACACACACACACAGACACACTCCCAATTCTCTCACATTCCTGACTCTCACACATGCACACACCTGACTCTCACACACTCCTGATTCTCACACCCACACACATACATAGAGTCTCTCTCACACACATACACACGCCCAACTGTCACATACACATAGGGGAGGCAATGACCTAGTGGCATTATCGTGGGACTGTTAATTCAGAGACCCTGGTAATGTTCTGGGGACCCAGGTTCGAGTCTTGCCATGGCAGATGGTGGAATTTGAATTTTAAAAAAATCTGGAATTAAGAGTCTAATGATGACTGTGAATCATTGTCAATTGTTGGAAAAACCCATCTGGTTCACTAATGTTCTTTAGGGAAGGAAGTTACCATCCTTACCTGGTCTGGTCTACATCTGACTCGAGACCCGCACTAATGTGGTAAACTCTTAACTGCCCTCTGGGATGGCCCAGTGAGTAATGCCTGTATTCCATAACCAAATTTAAAAAAAAAGTCTCTCACACACGCACATACACACCCATCTCTCATACATACTCATAGTCCTGACTTACACACACACATATACTCTCTCCCAAACACACACATACATACACCCCCACACATACACTCACCCCAGACTCAAAACAGACACATACCCGACTCTCTCACACACACACACACATCCCTAGTCTCACACATACACTCACAACCCCCAGACTCTTGACGCACACACACACCCCTGACTCTCTCTTATGCACGGACACAAACCCAACTCTCTGACACACACCCCAGACTCTCTCTTTCTCACACACACACACACCCCCCCCAGACTCACTGTCTCTCTCTCTCTCACACTCACACACACACACACACACACAAACCTGACTCTCACGTGCAGATCCTGACTCTCGTTGACAATCGTACAACAACTATTACATTGCACACACATGTCGTGCAAACATGTCTCCCACATACACAGATGCTCAGCTAGCAGACATACATACATCAGGGACACATAATAGTCAGTGACCAGGGAGAAAAGCTGAGCTTTCAAAAGTGAGATTAGGATCTCAAGTGGGGCTGAAAGTTGAAATTTTGGGGTTGAATATTGTGAGTCAGCATGCTCCTACTGAGTTTAAAGAGCTGCACTGCCTGTCTGTCTTGTGTCCTCACTGCCACCCTACTCCCCACTCTCACAGTGATCCCCCATGCCATTATCACAGTTCTCACTGAGGGGTCAGGATCATTTTCAAGCCTTTCCATGGGGTTACAGCAACAAAAAGTACTGGAGTGGATTGTGGAATGAACACACAGACACAAAGAGACAGAAAGAGACAGACATGGACATACTTACACACATAGACCCTGACACTGACACACTTACACACAGACACAGACCCCGACAGAGACACACTCAACGCACACACCGTGACACAGGCACACTCAACACACACTGACACAGACCCCAAATCAGGCACACACACAGATGTAGACATACTTGCACACACATAGACCCCAACTCAGACAAACCTACACACACAGACACAGATCCTTACAGAGATGCACTTACAAACACAGACCCTGACAGAGACACACACATAGACACACTTGTTGATACACATGCAGACCCTGGCACAAGCACACTCACACACACAGACATCCACTCCTCCTGCATTCACAGCCACCATCTCTCTCTCACAGACCATGGGCCTCACCCGGTGATCAATCATGCAGCCAAATTACACTTTGAGTGAACCCTTTTATAACATAGTTCACATCAGAGCTGCATTCCTTCAAACATGTTAATACTTTCTTTCATCCAAATAACGCTGATATTATTACACTGAAATTAACCGTGAACAACAGACTGTGTGAAACGGCAGAACCCAGCAGTATTTCTGCAGATTCTATTGAAAGAGCACGATGGCACAGGGTGAAATAACAGCCATATATAAATAAACAATTCAGATAAACTTTCAGCTTAGTAAGGGTGGAAAATAATACTCAGCATAATTTGAATTTCAAAATTAAAAGCTTCAGAAAACAAAGAATATATGCACTCATGCAAATGGTGTTTTCCAGTTAACAGGGTCCTATCAAACAAAACTTCAGTGCCCCAGTTAACTACAGACTGGAGCTGGGAAGTATACGGACAGGGTCTGACATTTGTTCTTCATTCCAGCTACGATGAGGTGTACGGGGGAGCACCTACAAAAGCAAACAAATCAGACAGGTTAGATTAGAGTTCAATGTAGCAATTTAGCATCATTAAGAACAATGAATCTATGGAGCCATACATCATCGAGATCACAGCTGGCGAATTTAACCTGAAGAGCCTTTGAGAAAAATGGCCAAAAATAGAAACTACAGGAAGGCGCAAGTCAAAAAAATGGCATTTCTAAACTAAACTCTTAGCAAATTGTCAACTGTCTGGTGGAATGCATAAGTTACATATAGTTTATATTATTATGATGATATATAAGTCTGTGCTTTAGTCTAACATCCTGACATGTCGACAATGGTACATTAAGAGTGTTGAGAGTGACTCCCACAAGGGTGTGCACAAGCTTCCTGATATATCTATTTTGAAAAACCAGGACTGTCTATCCAACATTGCCATGCCACTCTGAATCTGCAACACTAAAGGCTCTGAAATCCAGCACTAATTGCAGTTGATTGTACAGATCCCAAAACCACACCCAGTACACCAAAATCACTTTTAACACCCCAATCCCATTCCCAATGCCCCCCATAAAAACTCTGAATGCCCCAAACCCACACTCAATGCCCAAACCAATTCCCAACACCCCATGGCCAATCCTAACACTCCAATTTCAACATCCCAATCCCAGTGTCCTAAAACTTTCTTATACATGTCTGTCCCTTCCCTGACTTCACAAGTGAATTAGCCAATGTGTTTCATCTTATAGAGTAATACAGCACAGAATCAGACCCTTCAGTCCAACCAGTCCAAGCCAAATATAAGCTCAAACTAAACCAGTCCCATCTGGCTGCTCCTGGCCCATATCCCTCCAAATCTTTCCTATTCATGTACTTATCCAAATTTCTTTTAAATGTTGTAATTGTACCCACATCCACCATTTCCTCAAGAAGTTCATTCCACATGCGAACCACCATCTGTGTAAAAAATTTGCCCTTCATGTCTTTTTGAAATCTCTGTCCTCTCACCTTAAAAATGTGCCCTCTAGTCATGAAATCCCCCATCCTAGGGAAAAGACAACTACCGTTAACTTTATCTATGCCCCTCATTATTTTATAAACTTCTTTAATGTCGCCGCTCGACCTCCTTTCCTCAGTGAAAAACAAGTCCCAGCCTATCCAACCTTTCTTTATAACTCAAATCTTCCGTACCTGGCAACATCCCGGTAAATCTCTTCAGAACACTCTCCAGCTTAATAATATGCTTCTTATAACTGGACGACCAGAATTGGACACAGTATTCCAAAAGAGGTCTCACTTATGTTGTGTGCAACCTCAACATGATTTCCTAACTCCTATACTCGAAGGACTGAACAATTAAGGGAAGCAAGCCAAACGCCTTTTTAACCAACCACCCTGTCTGTACGTGACGCAAACTTCAAAGAATTATGTACCTGAACCCCTAGGCTCCTCTGTTCTACAACATCACCCAAGGCCCTATCATTAATTGTATAAGCCCTGAGCTCATTGCTTGTAATAACAATTAGAACTTACTTGCAGCATTGTAGGCTGGAGCTGGTGGGTATGGGTGATAAGATGCCGCATGTGTGTTGGCAGCATAGCCTGGCTGCATCGGGTAGTTGTGCATCACTGTTCTCACACCATGGAAAGGAACAAACACTCATTAATACAACTGAAAACGATATATATTTAGATACTGCCTTTAACAATTTTAGGATGACTGAAAGCCCTTTAGAGTCAACTCAGTGCTGTTAAAATGAGGTTATTGCTTTGATGTAAAAAACACAGCAGCCAGTTTGTGCATAGCAAACTCCCACTAACAGGAATGTGAAAACAACCAGACAATCTATTTTTGTAACCTTGATTGAGAACAAATATTGGTTCCAGGGATAGCTTCTTTGTCAAAATAGCAATATAGGAACAGTAGAACATTCAGCTCCTCGAGGCATTCTGGATCATGGATCAACTACCTCAGTGCTATTTTCCCTGTGTTATCGCCACATTCCTTCATAGTATTATTATCTAGAAATTGATCAATCTCTGTCGTGAACAAACTCAGTGACTGAGCCTTCACCATCCTCTAGGGTGGAGAATTCCAAAGGCTACCTACTCTCTGAATGAAGAAATTCCTCCTTTTCTCAGTCCCAAATGGTTGCTCCCTATTCTCACACTGTGTCCATTGGTTCTACTCCCAGCAGTCAGGCAAAACATCTTTCCTGCATTTAACCTGTTGAGTCCTGTCTAAATTTTGGAAGTTTCAATGAGATCGCCTCTCATTCTTTCATACCTAGAGAAAGATAGGCCCAGTCTCCCCAGTCTCTCCCCATGAAACAATCCTGCCATCCAATTAGTCTGGTGAACCTACAATGAACTTCCTCAATGCCAAGTATATCCTTCCATGGATAAGGAGACTAACACTGTACACAATACTCTAAAATACCATCTCAAAGACATTCCATGAATTCCTTTTCTTGAGATCCATGACCAACCTGATTTTCCCAGTCCACCTGCATATTGAAGTCCCCCATGATTATTGTAATAGTGCCTTTCTTAAATGACTTTTCTATCTTCTGATTTATTTTCTTCCCCACATCCTGACTACGGCTAGGAGACCTGTACACAACTCCCGTCAAGGTTTCCTTCCACAGTTCAAAGACATGCAGGTTAGATGGATTGGCCATGCTAAACTGTCCCTAGTGTCCAAGGATGTGTAAGTTAGGTGGATCAGTCATGGGAAATGCAAGGTTACAGGGATAGGGAACGAGGCTGGGTCTGGGTGGGATGCTCTTTGGAAAGATGGTGTGGACCGGATGGGCCAAATGGCCTGCTTCCACAGTGTAGGAATTCTATGATCAACTTAATAAGGCATAAGGGGGATGGTGATGGTGTAGTGGTATTTTCACTGAATGAGTAATCAAGACATCTAGTTAATGTTCTAGGTATCTAGGGTTCAAATCCCACCACGATAGATGAAGGAATTTGAAATCAATAAAAATCTGGAATTTAAATGTCTAATGATGAAACCATCGTTGATTATCTAGTTCACTAATGCCTTTTACAGTAGAAAACTGACATCCTATATTAAATGTTACTTCAGACCCACAGCAATGTGGTTGACTCTGAACTGCCATCTGAAATGGCCAAGCAAGCCATTCAGTTGTAACTATCGCTACAAAGTCTCAAGGCTTCAGGATGTTGCCAGGTATGGAAGGTTTGAGTTATAAGGAAAAGCTCGATAGGCTGGGAATTTTTTCAATAGAGCGTAGGAGGTTGAGAGGTGACCTGATAGAAGTTCATAAAATAATGACAGGTACAGATAGAGTTGATGGTAGTTGTCTTTTCCCTAAGATGGGGAATTTCAAGATTAAAGGGCACATTTTTAAAGTGAGAGGAGAGAGATTTCGATAAAACGTGACAGGCAATTTTTTTATACTGAGGATGGTTCACGTGTGGAATGAACTTCCTGATGATGTGGTGGATGTGGGTACAATTACAATGTTTAAAAGACGTTTGGATGGATATATGAATAGGAAAGGTTTAGAGCGATATAGACCAGGAGAAGGCAGGTGGGACTAGTTTAGTTTGGGATTATGTTTGGCATGGACTGATTGGACTGAAGGGTCTGTTTCCACGCTGCATGACTCTATGACTTTCTAGCATCAACTGAGGCACCAGAAACGACAACAGCAAGAACAGCCTTGTCGATGCTGCAATGTCCTCCTCCTAACAGCTGCAGGTTATGTCAAAATTGGGAAAGCTATCTCACAGACAGCAATAGCCTGATGGAGTCATAGTCACAAAATCATAACTTACAGACAATACCCCAAACAACACCATCACCATTTCTGGATATATCCTATTCCATCAGCAGGATAGAGCCAGCAGAAGTGGCAGCACAGTGGAATACAGTCGGGTGGGAGTTGCCCTGGGCATTCTCAACTTTGATTCCCAACCTGTTGCAGTCTGATGGTACCAGGTTAAACATGGGCAAGGAAACCTCCTGCTGATTACCATGTACCGCCCTCCCTCCCTCAGCCGATGAATCAGGAATTCTCCATGTTGAGCAATAACTGGAAGAAGCACTGAGGTTGGCAAGGGCAGAGAATGCAGTCTGGTTGTGGGACTGAGATAGTAGGAACTGCCAATGCTGGAGAATCTGAGATAACAAGGTGTAGAGCTGGATGAACACAGCAGGCCAAGCAGCATCAGAGGAGCAGGAAAGCTGACGTTCAGAAATGACCCGAAACGTCAGCTTTCCTGCTCCTCTGATCCTGGTTGTGGGACTTCCTTTGTTAGCCATGGTTAACTCACTTTTCCTGTTATTTTCTGTGCCTTGAAGGAATATATTTTTATTACAAATCATCTATTAATTCTTTAAATAGTAGCTTATCTGTCATCATACTTTTTAAAGTATTTTCCCAATCACCATTGGCAACTTATCTCCATGCCTTCATAGTTTCCTTCGTTTAGAATTTAAAATCTTCATTTTGAATTGAATTACATTATTTTCAAACTTTACGACAGAACATAAAACAGCACAGCACAGCACAGGAACGGACCCTTTGGCCCATGATGTTATGCTGAATATTATGCCAAATTAAACTAATCCCTTCAATCTGTCCTTGGTCTATACCCCTCCATTCCTTGCATATTCATGTGCTTATCTAAAAGCCCCTTAAATGCCCCTGTGGTATCTGCCTGCACCACTACCCCTAGCTGCGCGTTCCAGGCACCTACCACTCTCCTGTGTAAAAAACTTGCCCCTCCCATCTCCTTTGAACATTCCCCTTCTCACCTTAAACGCATGCCCCCTAGCATTAGACATTTCAACTCTGGGAAATGATTCTGAACTGTCAACCCTACCTATACATCTCATAATTTTACAGACTTCTATCAAGTCTCCCCTCAGCTTCCGCCATTCCAGTGAAAACAATCTGAGTTTTCCAGCATCTTCTTATAGCTCATACCCTCTAACCCAGGCAGCTTCCTGGAAAACCTGTTCTGCACCCTCTCCAAAGCCTCCATGTCCTTCCTGTAATGTGGCGACCGGAAGTTAATGCAACAGTTGAAGGCCTAACCAAAGTCTTATAAAGCTGCAACATGACTTCCTGACTCTTGTACTCAATGCCCCAACTAACAAAGACAAGCATGCCATACATTTTCTTTACCACCCAATCTATTTGCCACATACTTTCTTCACCACCCTATCTACTCGCATGGCCACTTTCAGGGAGCTATGGGGTTGAACCCTAAGATCCCTCTGTACATCAATGCTACTCAGGGTGCTGCCATCAAGTGTATACTTTTCCTTGATATTTAATCTCACAAAGTGAAGCATCTCACACTTGTCAAGATTAAATTCCAACTGCAATTTGTCTGCCCATATCTGCAAATGATCTGTATCCCATTGTATTCTTTGACAACCTTAATCACTATCTACAACTCCACCAATATTTGTGTTGTCTGCAAACTTGCTAACACACCCATCTACATTTTCATCCAAGTTATTTATTTAAATACATATCACAAACAACAGAGGTCCCAGTACGGATTCCTGCGGAACATCACTAGTCACGGACCTCCAACCTGAAAAACACCCTTCCACCACTACTCTCTGCTTTCTATGGGCAAGCCAGTTCTGAATCTGAGCTGCCAAGTCTCCGTGGATCTCATGCATCTTAACCTTCTGGACTACCTACCATGAAGGACCTTGTCAAAAGCCTTATTAAAATCCGTGTAAACAACATTTTTGCTCTACCCTCATTAATCACCTTTGTCACCTCCTCAAAAAGTTCAAACAAGGTAGTATGACATGACATGTCCCGCAAAAACCCATGCTGACTGTCCCTAAGGCCATGCTTTTCCAAATGCATGTAAATCCTATCCCTAATAATTCTCTCCAATAGCTTCCCAACCACCAATGTGAGACTCACCAGTTTATAGTTTCCTGGATCTTTCCTTATTTCCCTTCTTGAACAGAGAAACTTTAGCTACTCGCCAGTCCTCCGGGACCTCTCTGCTAGCTAGCAAGGTAAAGGCCCCAGCAATCTCCTCTCTTGTCTCAGTAACTGCAGTAGATACCATTGGGCCCTGGGAACCTTAATTTTCTTCACGACACCCAATACTACTTCTTTCTTGATCCCATAATGCCCTAGCGTATTATCATGCTCCACACTACTCTCACTATCCTCCATGTCTTCTCCTGGGTGAATACTAACACAAAATACTCATTTCAAAACACAATCTCAATCACGTCCGCTGCCTCCAAGCACAAGTTCCCTCCTTTATCCTTGAGTAGTCCTACCGTCTCCCTAGTTAGCTTCTTGTTTTTAAAGTATGTATAGAATGCCTCTTTAACCCTACTTGCCAAGGTGACTTCATGGCCCCTTCGTGCTCTCCTAACTCCCTGCTTGAGTTCTTTCCTGCTTTCTTTATATTCCTCAAGGGCCCTGTCCAATTTTAGCTTCCTAAACCTTATATATGCTTCTTTTTCCCTTTTGATTAAATTTGTATCCTCCCTCAATATCCAAAGATCCCTCACCTTGCCATCCTTGTCCTTCCTTCTTACTCGAACATGCTAGTTCTAAATTCTGATCAGCAGGTCTTTAAACAACTCCCACACGTCAATG